CTCTACATAGGCCTTTTGTCAAAATGGTCGTCAATGTTTTCATTTGACTTTACGTAGTCAATGAAGATTGTTCCATTTTTCAGCAAGTCCTTTATAGTATTGTGGTGCCGTCTGTAGGAAACCAAATCCTCAAATGCTCTAGTAATAAGTGTTAAGGTTAATAATGAGCAGGAGCAAATAGCAACTATACTAGATGGTTAATGAGAAACGACAAGAACACAATAATGAAGAACAAGTAATTTTTGGGGAAGTTGTCGAGTTAAATGTATTTCAATCAGCTTAAAGAATAGAATGATTACACCAACAACACATAGTAATGTGTGATATGAAAATCTCTCAATAAGCTATTTTCTCACAAGTGAAATAATCTCTCACAATCTCTACTAGGAGCGTATATTCAAAATTGGTAAGGAATCCCTTAAAGGAATTACTTTTTTATAGGCGTTTCCAGAAAAGGCATCTTTCAGAAATGGCATCTTTGGAAGGTCAGCACATCCACCAGTCTGTTGTCTTCATGTGTCTTGAGTGTAGTAATCGTTTATGTACACGTGTTGCAAGAAGAGAGGAATACTTGTGATGTAGAGACTGGCCAAGGAACCATTGTATAGACGGGGGAAGTTGAGACCCAGAAGCTTTGCATGTACTATACAGAGGCTTTATGTCCAGGACTTGGGCTCTGCATCCCGAGTACTTAGCATCGTTGGCACGTGACATTGGTCTTGATAACCTCTGTGTCCGAGCTCTGTATTCGAGCTCTGGTTCCGGGATGTTTCTAGACTTCAAGTCCTCTTGACTTGGGCAAGAGGCTTTTTACTTAAACTTTCAAAATGCTAACAATCTCCCTTTAACTGTAATAAAAAAAACTTTATGAATTTATAAACTAGTCTAAAAAGCAAGAGGCCAACATCGTCCTCTGTAAGTACGATTCATTGATTAAGAACAAAAATTACAGGATTTCAAAATACAAGATAAGGGCTATATATTTGTTGTAGTTTCATGAACCTTTTAAGAAGGTCACGAAATCTAACAAACCATCTATAGTTCAGATTAGACCTTCTGTTCCTTCACTTGTTGTGGGGTCTTCATTTTTTTCAATGAATTTCTCCCTTACCTAGAAGAGAGTTGCATTATAATACTTGTACCTTTCTTGGGCTCAATAGAAGACCTTTTCTTTGTGCTCGTTCTTGAAAATGAAGCCCGGTTCTGGCTCTACCAAGATGGTACCTGTAGGGATGTGTTGAATGCCTTCTAGTTATTCATTTGGTGTAGTGAAGACAATTGATCCACTCCCATCTCGAGCGCAATTTGAAAGTCCACCTTGCTTATGTATTCTAGTAGACTTCTCATTGTCTTTCTGATTGCAGAGTTGGCCACAACATATTTAATCCTTTTGTCCCTCCTTTGGTTCGTGTGGAAATAAAGATTAAGAATATCCCATGGGTTCAGATCTATGAGATCATAGTCTGTGAACACATTTATCTAACCCATAGATCTTTCCACCGTGTACTCGTGAAAGATTATCTTATTGTGAGAAAAGGTCCTTTTTTTGACGTCTAACACTTGCTTGATTCCATCGTTGAAGAAAATTTTGCTCTAGGGAAATGTGTATTGTCTGAGGAACCTTAGTATGATGTTCTCTTGAAGCATAGCATGCAAAGTAGGCTTCTTGTGACACCTCTTCCCGTTCTTTGTAGAGGAATTGGTAGATCTTCTCATTAAAGACATGATCTATTGGCGCTTTTCCCTTTGGCATGAATCTTCTCATTGCATCCATCTGGTTTCAGATCTATTGGACTTTATCTCGAGGGGGTGCAGAGCTTGAAAGTATGTTGTTGGACTCTGGATTTATGATTAGAACTTGAGTAATTTGAGTTGGAGCTTGAGCAGGTTTTTGATGCAGAGGGTGGACCTAATATGTTGGAGCTGAAGTTGATGTAGAGAGATAGAGACAAAGATAGAGATGGATATTCATTTTGAGATCAGAGGAGTTTCTTTCTCAGACTCTGAGTTGTCTAGTACGTTTATCACCACCTCTTTATCTTGGACTGCGTCGTCTCCACTTATTTCTTCCATGAATGGCTCCGTAGATGAAGATGAAGATGTTGCACCAACGATCATTTTTGGAAGAGAATTAGATGTGTCCATATTTTCACTAAAGACTGATGCAAAGGCAGAAGTGCCATCTGGTTAAGCTTAGGGTTTTTGTGAAGTGGCCGCAGGCACTGGATTGGATCTTTGTATAGGTACAGAGGAAATGGGGCAGCTGCAATGGCAAAGTGGTGAGTGCTCTCCCCCTTTTGATGATCTTGAGAACCAGAGGAATTTGGGTCCTCTTAGTCATCAAACCTCCTCTTCTTCGAGCTTTCTGTGCATGGAGAGTCAACCTTCCTCTTTTTCTTCTTCTTCTTAAGATCTGCAGGCGACATCCTCTTTACCTTTTCATCGAACAACTCCACCATATGTAGTGCTACAAGGGTGGCTTTATTGATCTCTACATCTGCTCGAAACTTGAATGTAGCCAGTGACATGCGCATCTCTTCAGCTGTTTTCTTTGCTTTGGAGTTAAACTCAGAGGTGAAAACAGAGACCTCCTATAAGATCTTGTCACCAAGCATGACCATCTCCCTCCCGTTAGGTAGTTGGATGAAGCTCCAAACGGGATCAAGGCGTATTTATTTAGCTTTACCATGTCCTCTATGAACTTTGGAATTGGTCCATAGAGACAAGTGTGATGGTGGCCTTGGACTCCTCTTTGTTTATGTATTCAACTACTCTGTAATCTAGAATGAAGAGGCAAAAGCAGACGTAATTCGATTTTGCACGATAAACAATGGTTTTCATGCTAATAGAAAGAGCGTATATTTAGGCAGAAGCAGACACAATCTGATTTTGAAGTCCCTGCCACTCTTACCGTGGCTCACTGGAAAACTCCAATGCAGCTGCAATCTGCCGTCACTATTCTACCAAAATTAATTTCATGTTCATTAGGTTATATATTAACATTATTTTTGGATTTCATGAGGTGAAATACCATATATATATATATATATGAAAGTTGTGTTTTATTTCATGAGATGAATAGCATGGCGAGTATGCAATTCTCTGGTAAATCTCTATGTGTTTTAAGATTTTTTTTCCCGAAAATTATGAAAATTGTGTTTGATTTCATGTGATGAAATGATATATATATATATATATATATATATAATGACACACACATATGTATATATATATATATATATATATATTATATTTGGATTTCATGAGGTGAAATAACATATTTATGAAAATCGTGTTTTGTTTCATGAGGTGAAATAACATGTTGAGTATGTGTTTCATCTAATGAATCTATGTGTTTTATTTGATGAATCTCCATGTGTTTCATTTGGTGAATCTCCGTGTGTTTCATTTGGTGAACCTCTGTTACCAAAATGATGATTATGCCCTTTTATAATTAAAAACGGGTTTCAATTAAAACCATAGGACCAAAACCAAATTAAGGTTTAGATCGGTCCTCATGGTTCTCAATCTTTTTGTAGTCCTCGTTTGATTGAACCCCTATATGTGTGCATATGTGTGTGTGTATGTGTGTCATCTTCATTTGAGAAAGTATAAAATTGTGATAACCTTCAAAACATGTGTCTCATATGTTATTTCAGATGATTTGTTTTCCATCTACGGCTTCAATTTAGTGTATTTATTGATTTATATTTGTTTCATATATACTTGTTTCACTATGTGAACATTTTTTGTGTTTGTAAAACAAAAATTCCAACTAAAAACTTTCACTGAATACAGTTGAAACAAACACATTGTAAAACAAATATATGCACATCAATATATTAAATTTTAGTCTTAGATAGAAAAAATCATATAAAATAATAACTTATGATAATAGTTCACACGTTAACACAATATCAAAATTTTAACTTATGATAACACTTTCATATTCCTATGAGCTAACATTTTCAATGACAGACCTATCGTGGTGCATATGATGCCCCATGCCACTGTATTATTCCTCCGTTGAAGGATAAAAAATTTAGGTTTGTGAAAAGTGTAACCGTATTAGTTTGTTGTGTGCCATCGTATGTATTTTGAAACTACAATGGAAACAAGTTTTATTTGGTAGAGTTGGTTTGCAAGACTTTTATTCCACCCCAGACTCAAGTGCAAATCCTATTAGGGTCATTTTCTTAGTCAAATGGTGCCACAATTTGAAAAAAATTTAGTATATTTATTTCTTATAGTCAATCGGTCCACCATTTGAAAAAAAAATCCCTTATATTTTTTTTCTTATAATCAAATAATGCCACCGTTTGAATTTTTTTTTTGAGTCCGTCCCTTGACATTTTATGGTAACATTTGATTGAGAATGGATGAGAACCACTTTAACATGTGTTATGAAACTATCCATGTAAATGTAAGAGGTCGTTTACCAAACGCTTACTCGGGTATATGAACACCAAGTCACATTATCTTACCGGATGAATATGGCAAGGACCAAAAATCTTATCCAATAAGAGCGAGACAAGAACCAAGAGTCTTACCCGATAAGTGAAGGTGGCAACTCTTACCACGGTAAGCGCTTACCGAGTAAATTTTTGCATACAATACCGTTTTTGTGGACTAAAATCTTATCCGATAAGTAAATGATAGTGTTAAATTGTACCGGTAAGCGCTTACCGGATAATTGTTTGATAAACGACCCCTAAATTATTCTTTTACAACATAAAACAAAATATATACATTAAAAATAATCATAAGATAAAACAACAATGTAATTTCATTTGCATTATTTCATGATACAAAACAAAACACATCATTATCGCTTCTTAAACGTTGTCAATATTTTTATAATTTACACTTTAATTATTCGATGGTATTAAAAATATATAATTTTTCGTGTCTTCTTCCATAAAACTGTAACCCATTTGTCTTATAACAATAAAAAAAGGCAAGGATGTATGCAGAGGTGCATTTTGCAAATGATTCCGAAATTAAGTAGACAACTTAACAATTAGCCAGCGAAACCATGACGACACCGGCCCCAGCAGCAGAGTCACCGGGAAAGTCCAGATGGTCTCTAGCCGGAACTACAGCTTTGGTTACCGGTGGTTCACATGGAATCGGATACGCTGTGGTGGAAGAGCTAGCGGCGTTAGGGGCGGTGGTGCACACCTGTTCTCGCAACGAGGCTGAACTTAACCAAGTGTTGGAACAATGGTCTGCCAAGGGCTTCGCCGTGACTGGTTCCGTCTGCGACGTAACTTCTCGTTCCCAACGCCAACATCTTCTTGAGGAAGTCTCGTCTCACTTTGGTGGCAACCTCCACATTTTAGTAAGTTTCTTAAATTTTAATCCAAATTTATATATTTTGTTTATGTTAAAGCTCAAATTACGTTTGCTTTTGCTCTCGGAGTTGGAAATTGATGCTAATCAGTTGAGATCTAAGAACATTTTCAACAGCTGTTTTTCCACAACAGCTATATTAAAGGGTGGAGTTCCAATGAAAATGAGAGTTAAGATGAGAAGCGTAAAAAATGATCTCTACATTAAGATGAGATCCACGAGATCATTTGAATATAAACTCAATTCAAAAGATAAATTTTTTTCGTTCGAAGTTTAGTTAAAAGTCTAGAAATCATTTTTATGGTTTAAATGAGTAGAGAAAAGGATGGGTAACATGTATTTTTTTTTTTTTTTGTCTTTTTTTTTTTCTTCCTATGCCATTCTATTAGGGAAAATCATCAAAACGACCAAAATATACTTGATGTATTAACGAAATAGTCAATTTTTTTTCGAAATTGCCAAAATGACCATACGGATCGCCCCGGAGGGGCATGATTTGACCATGGGAGGCGATCTTCTCCATGTTTTATCAGATAATACAAAAAAATATTAAAAAGTTAATTTGGTAGGGCACACATATATCACCTTTAAGAAACCAATGCTGTTTGTCTCGATAATTTAAAAAAATATATTAAATTCAATATGAACAATTTAATGGATTTGTATCTCTTCACATCCAATTGATGCTAACTAACGTCAACCGATGAAAATGGGAATTGTGATGGTCGGTCTAAGGTTCACAGGAAGAAGGGAAGAAACTATAGCATTTTATTTAATTTTTAAAAAGAATAAATTACTTTTTTGTCCTTGCGGTTTTTTGATAATTACATATTTCATCACTTTGATTTTGAAATTACAGTTTTCGCGTCCATAACTTACAATTTATTGTTATTTTCATTCATGAACGTAATTCTCACCAATTAAGTACGAGGTACTAAAATAAGAAAGAATTATAAACCATATGGACGGAAATAACAATAAAATATAAATAACAAGGACGAAAATCACAATTTTAAAAACACAAGAATGAGAATATCAATTTTCCACAAACAATAAGAACGAAAATCACAATTTACGCTTTTTTTAAAAGAAAATTAGTAAAAAAGTAGCAAGACAAAAATACTCCGATGCTTAGAAACATTTTTAATGGAGAGTTAGTAATTAATAAAAAAAGATAATTTCTGGACTTGTCAAAAGTTAGAGACTTTTTATTTAACCTTTAAGAATTGAATTTAAACATTTTTCTTAATAATTTATTTAAATTATTTTTATGAAAGAAAATAAGTTAGATCCAAACAATATGGAATTTTGATTATTTACATGTTTGGGTCGAATACGGAAACGGGTCAAGCTTAACCGACTTTTCTCTAACAGATCTAATAGAAACAAAGCCAACCTTTTTTGTTTTTCAAGATTACTAATTTGCCCTCGGTTTGGGATTGACCATGTGTTTACGGGAACCTTAATTTTTTTTAATGTAAAATCAGAAATTATATAAAATCATTTAAAGTTTATAGAAGGATACTCGTATAATGTAACGAAATATAAATTTTTGTTTTAATATTTAGTTTTTTATTTTATTTTGATCAATATGGTACGATTTTATGTGGTCTTAAGAAAGCGATCATGTTTTATTTTTGAATAAAATATAAATTTGAATATAACATAAAATTTTGAGAAAAATAAATCGATATTAGTATCAAATTAACTATTTAATAATTTCCATTTTTTTGCTGTAACTTCTTTAATTCAATAATCTAATAGATTTAATAGCAAAGTAATTTATTTTTGAAAACATTGTGTTAGAACTCAATGATTATCTTAATTATATTCTAGATTTTCTATATTCAAAATGAATGTTTATCTTGTACTTGATTATGTTTATCCGTAGTTAGTTACACGAATTAAAAATGGAGTTTTAATAAGTTGTACTTATGCACAATTTACTTGTAATCTTGAATTTTAAGTAATATACATCAACAAAAAATACTTCATGCATAAAATATGATTTTTAAAAGTTTTTATCAAATGATTTATAATATAACTAAAAGAGTACTCGTGCAATGGAACGAGATATATCTCGATTTCAATGTTTCATTTTATTCTTTTGGTCTCTGTCGATATTATAATACAAATTTATATGGTTTTGAGTAAACAATAATGTTTTTCTTAATAAAATATAAATTTGAAGATATGATACAAATTAAAAAAATAAGTTCTTATTTTTTGTTTAATTTTTTTAATGTAAATTTTTTATTATAATTTAATTTAGGTTTAATGACGAAGTAATTTATTTTTGATTTAATAATATAATATTTATAAAGATAATAGCTACATATTTTTGGTTTAATAATATAATTTAATTTACGTATATATGTATGTATATATATAGGGATCTAATCAAATGTGAACTTGATAATTTGTGGTAATTGTGAGGTCTAATATGAATCAATCATTTTAGATAATTAATGTATTTACTAATATAAAACAAAATTGTGTTGATTATTCAATTTACTTTAATTAGTTTAATATTACAATTTATTTTAATTAGTTTAATTATTTTAATATATGTACATATACACCCACACACACACACGGATACATAGGGACCAAATCCGGTGGCCTTCTCCGGCACCCACCAGCACTCAAGTGACCTCCTCTAGTCATCTTGTCTGACCAAGACGTAGTCTCCGATGATCGACCACTAAACACCCACTTGTGGCAGTGGTACGACAGTTGGTACCAACTGTGGTACCAAAGTTGGTGTGTTTTGGGTATTATATTGTATGTATTTTGTTATCACATTGTGTATCTTGGTGTATTTTGGGTATCACATAGTGTTCGTCAGAGACCATAGGTAGGAGAGAGAGAGAGAGAGAAAGAGAGGAGAGATAAAAATTTAAAATACCTAAAATGCCCTTTAATTATAATTTTCAGTCAAATTACCAAAAATATTAGTTTCCTAATATATCAATTGATTTGTGGTTGATATTGGATCTCACAATTATCACAAATTAATCGGTTCTCCTTGAATGGACCCTGTATACACACACACACACATTTTTTACGCGTATTTTTTATTTCACTAGGTGAACCAAAATTTTTTTCCATGTGTAATCGTTTCACAAGGTGAACACAGACATATGTGAAACAATATCTAAAATCATAGTGATGAAAAAAAATCATGTAAAAAATATTTTTATATCGGTTCTCACGGGTTCTGTAACATATTTGTAGTTCTCATTTAATTATCGTCCTCTCTCTCTCTCTCTCTCTCTCTCTCTCTCTATATATATATATATATATATATATATATATATATATATAGGAACGATTAAATGCAAATCACTCAATTTGTACAAACCATGCGAATCACCCTCATCCGTCGATTTCATTGTTTAATCTTATGAAATTTTTTCATAAAATTGTTTAATCTTGTGAAATTGTTTCATATAATTTTTTTTATGAAGTTGTTTCATATATGGTTATGAAATTGCTTTATATAATATTTAATGAAACTGTCTCATGTATTTCTCTAAAATTAAAATAATGAAAATGATAATTTCCATGATTAACACCCTTCATAATAAAAATGATTAATCAACCTCTCATAATTACAAAAAAATGAACAAAATAAAAAAAATTATGATTGGTTGAATGAGGTTTGTACGGTTTGTACAAAATAACGTGGTTTGCAAAGTAAACATCATATATATATATATATATATATATATAGAGAGAGAGAGAGAGAGAGAGAGTTTGTTTCAAATACAACATATCGCATTTGTACAACCAATGCAACCCAATAAATTAAGATATTTATGGAAATGATGAGAATTCATTTATTATGATTTGAATATTTATGTAAGATGAATATGGTTCATTAATTATGATCAATACTTTATATTGGGAAACAATCAAAACCTCTATGAAATCACATATTAATCAAATGAAATGGACGGTTGAGATCGGGTTGTATTGGTTGTACAAATGCCAAAGGTTGTATAATAACCAACCTATATATATATATATATATATATATATATATATATCCAAACTTTTATCAACCAAGTTTTTAGTGTTAACTTTGTTAACCTTAATTTATCAATCAAAAATTTGTATGTAAGTTGATTTTATCCCACCAGTTACATAATAAAAATGGTTTTGTGTTTAACTTCCTTAATTATCTTTTAGATAATTATGGAGGTCTTTTTTGTGTTTAACTTAATTTTTTTTAATATAACGGTTTTGTGTTTAACTTCCTTAATTTTTTTCTTTTAATAAGACAGTTTTCAAATTGGTCGATGGGAAGGTTGTTCATAAGATAAAAAGTGGATGTGTGCATGATTGAAATATGTTTTCATTCAATATCTTTTTGTGATCATAAGCTCCATCATGTTGTTTCACTTATGAACATCATTTTCAATTACGGAAATGTTTTACTTATTACCATGTTTCAGTTACGACCATGTTTCACTTACAAACGTGTTTTTACTTATAAACGTGTTTTTACATTCAATTCATGTGATTCAAACGCATAATACATTTGTTCATAGGTGAAATCATGCTTTAATAGGTGAACATGACCACAGATTAAAGGTCAAACACAAGAATGTAAATTAGATGTGTGCATGACTTAACCTTTGTTCGTTAGTGCCTTATCCTTCGTGTTTGCATAATTTTTGGGAGTTGCAATATATTTCCTAATCTCCCGCTATAGACCAATTTACTTATTAACCGTTGAATAAAAAGTTTGATGGTTGAGATTGGTTAATTAAGTTAACACTAATACTTTGGTTAACAAAAGAAGGGGACCCCCAAAATAGTCCCACAATGAGAATCAAAAAAGTCAAAAAAAAAAAGGAGCAAAAAAGCGGTCTACGTGACCCGACACATGACCTCAAGTTGTGGTTGAGGTTGCGCCGAGCTCTGTTCAACCTACAGCATTCCAGAACTTGATATCTTACATGAGAATACAATTCCTCAATCCTAAACTCGAATCCAAAGTCCTTCCAACATAAACCAATACATTTAAACCTTCAAGATGATTCCCAAAACAAATCCAAACAATCAAACACCACCTGATCATTCTACGATCAACCCAAAAACTTAATAATCAAGCTTTTAACTTTGAAAATCTCAAACTGAAAGATATTGAACAAAAACTCCATGAATCAACAAGGTAAACCGATTTAAAACTTCAAATCATTACTAAATTCAAATACAAATAAAGTTTACCAGAAAATCCTCATTTAAACAACAAAGAAGCACTTCAAATCAAATCCCCAATAATAACATAAAAGCCCTAGGAAATGGAGGTTCTACTAGAGAAGAAGACCCATAGTTAAAAATGAAGAGCCAACCAAGTTAATCTTTTCCTTCAATTCTTCCATCAATCTCCTCACATGTGGTGCCTTTATCTCCAAGAAACCTTCACATACAAACACACACAAAAAGAGGGGAGGCGTGCATGGTGAATGAGGAGTAAGTCTTCTTTACACATGAAGTTTCAACTCTGGTCTCTGGTTCTCCAAGTATGCAACTCTTTACAATCGTTTTGTAAAGAGTTGCATACTTGGACAACTTTATCCATACAAGATTAATGGAAAACCAACGAAACAACCCTTTTGTCCTATTCATAAATGACTTTAGTTTCACTTTCTCCACTCATGAACGTGAAGTCAAAGCATAAAGTTAAAACAACCTATAAATGGTCAAAATGTTAAACAACACAAAGATGATGGTTTGCTTTTTACCTATCTAACCTTCACCAAGAGCGATTTTTATTCTCCCCGTGTTCTTGTCATCTTGATAAATCTGTCAACCATTTGTCCCTTTTTTCTTTGGCATTGTTATTTGAACTCCCTTTAGTTCAAATCGAAGTATTAAAAATATTTAAAGAGACATTGATATTGATATATGCAAGAAATTTTATTATGAAAAATGGTTCAAATAACATGTATTTGTTTCTTTAGTTAGTTGACACTAATATGAAAAATTTATAACTATTTACCAACTTCCACTTTCTTTAGGTAAACAATGTTGGAACATGTATATATAAACCAACTACAGAGTTTACAGCTGAAGATTATTCTATTATGATGGCTACCAACTTCGAATCCTCTTACCACATATGTCAACTTTCACATCCTCTTTTAAAGGCTTCTGGGTCTGGAAGCATTGTGTTCATTTCATCAGTTGCAGGTCTGGTCAATGCTCTCTCAGGATCACTTTATGGAGCTACCAAAGGTATGGTTGCATAATTTTGTTTGGCTTATGTAAACAAAGGGGTAATGCCCATTTTCTCTCTCTAGGTGCGATGAATCAGCTTACAAGGAATCTAGCATGTGAATGGGCAAATGACAACATTCGAACAAATTGTGTAGCACCATGGGTCATTAAAACCCCACTTGTCCAACCGGTATTATACCTTAGTCTTGGCCTTTTCGATTGATAATGTTGAAGTTTTCTTGCTTTGATATAGTTGAGCTTGATGGCAAATGTTTATTGTATGCAGTTAGTTGATAACAAGGAGCTTATGGATGGTGTGGTATTTAGAACTCCTTTGAAACGTCCTGGAGAACCGAATGAAGTTTCATCTCTAGTAGCCTTCCTTTGCCTACCTGCTGCTTCCTACATTACTGGCCAGACGATTGCTGTTGATGGAGGATTTACGGTTAATGGTTTTTAAGTGCAACTTACCATCTTGCTTAATGCTTGAGGAACTTCCTTTAGTTAATTCCTATTATTGTTTACAAATTGCTTTCTTGAACACTATGTTTTGAAATAAAAACCCAAAATTTGGTTCAAAGAGAATTTAAATTGCAAAAGATGGGTTTATAGGACACTTCTTTAAAGTGTCTTAGACCATGAACATCAATGCAATTCATTTATACTTTCAACCATACCATATCCGTTTTTGCAACTATCATCTATACGCATGCAATTCACCTACAGTTTTAAAAGTGGTCTCCACTGCAACATTTATCAACTACTTTATAAAGCATTATATATATTATAATTATTTTTTTAGTTAATAAATACATGATATATAATTCTATACTTTAGTTTAATGTTAATTAAAATATTTCAAAGAAACGATTAATATATGTCGTAAATAATATAATATAATAATTTTACTTATTTTATAATTCATTGTATTGATTTAGTATATACTTAATTAAATTATATAAAAACACAACATTTATCGAATTAAAAAGATTACATATAGATAAAAAGAAAATATTACATTAATCATCGTTTTCTTCTCCTTTAAATCGGCTCCAAATATCTTCAACCAAACCTGCTTACATTTGATGTAATTTTATTTGTGTTGTTTTATTAATCGTACGTATTAGATTATTTTATATATAATTTTATAGATTTTATTATAATTAATTTTATCAATATTACATGTTTTAATATGTATAATTTTAGTTGTAGGTAATTATAAAATTTATTGTTTAAACTAGTTTGATTATATTGTATTTGTATTTATATTTTATTTAAAATGTAATATATATTATACAGAATATTTTTCAAACAAGATTAATCAATTTAATTAAATAAATAAATTGATATAGAATATACTGTTTCCATAAAAATTAACTTATTTATAAAAAAAGGGTGGTGACATGGCTTGCAAGTGGGCTTTCAACATTTTCAAGTGCCATGTGTGGCACCAGAATTCGATCTGTAACTCGTTTTGCAAGTGATATGCATGTCTTGTGTGGATTGTATTTCATTAGAGAGAGAGAGAGAGAGAGGAGGTTTCAAATGTAATTCATTACATTTGTATAATTAATGTAATAAATTGAAATATTTATAAAAATAATAAGAGTTTATTTATTGTAATTTAAATATTTATGGAAGATGAATAAGATTCATTAATTATGATAAATACTTTATGAAATTACATATTTATCAAATTAAATGGATGGTTAAGATTGAGTTGTATTGATTGTACAAATGTAAAAGGGTGTATAATAACTCACCCCCTCTCTCTCTATATATATATATATATAACACACACACACACACACACATATATATATATATATATACATATACATATATAGGGTTGGGTTCACGTGAGACCAAGGGTTTTTCGTGAGACCCGTAAGACCAATTTATGTTCATTGATCAAATTTATGAATTAATGATCTAATGGTTGCAAAGTTGCAAGGTGGCAATTTCGAAATTAGTGAGAAGTCTCGTGGCGTTTATAAATGTTCAGATCTGACGATTGTAAATATAATCCAAGGGTTGAGAATTGGTCTTACGGGTCTCACGAGAAACTATTGGTCTCACATGATCCCAAGTCTACATATATATATACATACATACATACATACACATATACACACACAGGGGCTCATTCAAGGGAAAACTGATTAGTTTGTGGTAACCGTAAGATCCAATCTCAACCACAAATCAACGGATAAATTAGGAAATTAATAATTATGGTAGTTTGAGTTAAAATTATAATTAGAGGGCATTTTAAGTATTTTTTTAAAAAAAACTCCTCTCTCCTCTCGCATCTCTCTGACCTCCAATCTCCGGCCTCCGGTGAATGTGAATATTAATCCGGCAGGTACCAAGTAATCACAAAGATACACAATGTGATACTCATTGTGATATAAACTGTGATACCATTGTGATACCAACTATGATACCAACACAAACCTTAAAAACAAAGATACACAATGTGATACTCATTGTGATATACTGTGATACCGATTTCACCGGAGATTGGAGGTTGGAGAGAGGAGTTTTTAAAAAATACCTAATATGCCCTCTAATTATAATTTTAACTCAAACTACCATAATTATTAATTTTCTAATTTATTCGTTGATTTGTGGTTGAGATTGGATCTCACAGTTAACACAAACTAATCAATTCTCATTTGATTAGGCCCCTACACACATATATATACATATATATATATATATATATATATAATATTGCTCACGAATGTGTTTTTTATAGTGGTCACTGTAGATATTGATTGTGGTCTTATCGAGAGGTGCGCTATTTTAGGAAGGCGGTTGTTGTGACTAGTTTCCTAATATAAGATGTTGTGCTTGGATGTCATTTTATGACTAACAAATTTAAATGTTTTCCGACATGTCCAGGTGCGAACTATAACAACATTATCTAACTTAATAAATAAACTGACATTGATTTATTTATAGAAATATTGTTTTTATATAAAAAAATAATGTATTTATAAAAAAGGGTGGTGACATGGCTTGCAACATTTGCAAGTGCCATGTCAACGTGGCACCAAAATTTGATTTGCAATTCCTTTTGCAAGTGATATGCAAGCCTTGTCTCGATGGAGTTTATATACAGATGTAGTAGGTTATTTTGTTAATTCAATTTTTAGTATTAATTATGTTAATTTAGTAGATTAATAAGATTGATTGTTTGATGTTGGTTTTAATAAGGTATTGATTATTAGATGGAGGACATAAGCGTAAATTATATATATACATGTTGTATTGGTTAATATATGAAAGTTGAAATAGTCAAGTGAACTTTTGTAACTATGCCAACATTGTTCATATTAATGAACATAATCAATTTTGTTTACAAATGTTCATATAGGGGGAGATGTCCATGTGTATATTAATGTTCATAATAATGAAGATTTTTTTATTAATGACAATGAATTAATGTTCATATGAACATTAATTAATGTCAATTATGGACAGATACAAACTTTGTGAATTTTTTTTTCCAATAATACCCTTGTTAATGTATGTTCATCTTAGATGATAATCTATTATATTATTAATTATTATAAAATTGTCATCATAATTGTCATTCATTGATTCACAAGATGAATGACTGTGATGGATTTATAAAGTTAATAACATAAATTGGATTAATAACATATATATATATATATATATATATATATAAAAGTGGAGTTTCAAATGAAAACACTCCTATTTTACGAGAATGCGGAAACATTTATGGGCCTCAAAATTATTTAACTCATAATTTAAATTAAAAGAAAATAAACTACTTAATTAAAGATAATCATGTGATTTCGTATTTATTTGTAATTTTGGTGAAAACCTTATCTCTAAAATTACATACATATAATATGTTAACAAGTATTAAATAGTTATCATATTATTATGATAGTAAAATCACATAATGAATTGACAAAGCGATAAATGTAGATGTGATCATCATTGATTTTCGATTATCACAATGCTATCACAACAAAAATCACATAATAATTCGATGATTATCACATCAAAATCATATCATAAAAAGTATTAAACTTATCAAATCATTATCACATTATTATCATGGCAACATCAAATCATTATCACATTATTATCATGGCAACATCAAATAATTATCACAATATTATCACACCATTATCGACAACGGATGCATCGACATAAAAAGTCTGATGATAATAACAAAATTTAAGAGATAAAGATAAATCTAGGATAACAGAAAATAATGGATAAATACTAATCAATTTTCATTTATTCTAATTTTTATTATATGTTAATTAATTTGGAGGTCCAAACGTGTTCTCGCATTATCGTAAAACATGGATGTTCTCATTTGACTCTCTCTCTCTCTCTCTCTCTCTCTCTATATATATATATATATATAGAGAGAGAGAGAGAGGGAGAGAGAGAGACCAACCTGTTTTTGTGAGACCAACTTTTTACACCTGAAACTTTATAGCAAAACATTGTGAAAGTAACCTTTACAATATTTTTGCTGTGAAGATTCAGATTTTATTTTACCTTCACAACCTTTTGTTGTGAAGTCTCAAGTGTAAAAAAGTGGTCTCTCGGGTCTCACAAAAATAACCTGGTCTCACGTGAACCCAACCCTATATATATATATATATATATATATATATATATATATATATATTTTGTGATAACCGAGTTATCGGTTAAAAAATTTAGAGTTGCTTTTTTATTTTTGATGATAAGTTAAAGGGATTATTTTGGTAATGCGCTTAAATCATTTAAAAGCCCCACCGCTTCGTTCTTTATTTGTTTAATATATAAGATAGTTTCATTATCTTATTGGGATGATGGCTAAGAAGTAAAAAGGCAATAAGCTTTGTGTGTGATCTCTTGTAGGAAGAAAAACAGAACCGTAAGGAGGAAAGAAATAAGTTGAGTTATGTGAACCTTCATTTTTGTGATTGATAAGGTGTGTTATTTTACAAATTTTCTTTTATGGTATTGGAATTAGAATTATATGGTTCTTTATAAGGGAACGTTATAAAACCCGTTTTGATGCTATAATTAACATGAATTGGTTTTTGTTATAGTTATCAAGTGTTTGAAATAAGGGTGACATATCAAGGTGATGGGTATTTTGATTATATGAGTGACATATCAAGAAGATATGTATTTTGAGATAAAGATGACATATCAAGAAAATGTGTATACCAGAATAAGGGTGGCATAATCAAACAAAATGTAAAATCTGGGTTTTTGACCAAAGTGTTATCTGTTTGTCGCACCCTTGAGATGCGATGACATGAAGTTGTCGTAGTATGATGCGATGACTTGAGTTTATCGCATCCTTGTGATGCGATAAAGTGTGCTTATCGTATCATTGTGATGCGAGTGAACTTATATCGCATCCTATTAATACGACAATTTGATTTATCACACCCACGTGATGCGATGAGATGGGGTCCTCACACAGTGTGATGCGAGGAGATGGGGTTGTCTCACTCAAATGATGCGAGGAAATTATGTATTCATCTATATGATGCAATGAGTTTTTACC